CGAATTTCAAATATAATGAATATCAATGCTCCATAAAAATAACTTCATCTCGATTAGATATAAATGAGACAAACAAAACAAAATTGTCGACTGGAAAAAAGTGGCAATGCCACTCTTGCCACGATTTTTTCTAAATTTTTCTATAAAATACGCCTACAAATAAAAAACGGGCAAAATTGACGCATTCCGAATATAACCAGAACCCATATAAAAACATTTCATGCAAGACTTCAGCTATTCTCATAATATCGTGTGGGCGTGAACCGACGGGGTTCCCCCGGGGAAAAAAAGTTATCCCTCACCCACTCATTCATCAATTCGCCCTACGAGCCTAGAAATTCGTGATGTCGAAGGAGCTTTTCTCCTATCACGTTTCATATCGAAGTAAACAGGATCAAATTCCGAAGTGAGGCTTCAACTCCCCTTCTACCAGTCTTTCTGCCACCTGATGGCACATCATGTCGGAAACTGAATATCCTCGGAGTGCCCAACCACTCCAGTATCTCTTTGTTTCCTTTTTCCCCCCGATGATTTGCTTTTACTTCCGAATGGAAGCTTTGTAATCTTTGATTCTTACGATCTTGTAATTTTGCCTGGAAGTGGTGAGGAATGGGATGAAACGCGAAAATATGCTTTCAGAAAATGTGTGGATCATTGTTAAAAAAATTTCAATGACGGAAATTTCTAACAAGTAAAATTTCCATTGGAATTCCAAGGAATTTTGTAATTGAAAATTCATAATTTCATGGAAAAAATCGTGGGAATTGTAAACTTTACCCCACGATGTTTACTTTATTAGTTCAATTATCCCGGAAAAATTAATGAAAATTAATTGATTCTCCTTGAATGTAAAATTCCTGCAAATGTTAAGGGAATTTTTTTAAAAATTTGTGGAATTCCAAGAATTTGAACGAAATTCCATGGAAAAATCTGTGGGAACTGTAAATTTCATTTCAATTATTCCGGGAAATTTAATGAAAATTAATTAATTCTCCTTGAATGCAAGATTTCTAAGAATTTTCAGGGAATTCCTTCAAAAATTCGTGCAATTTCAAGAATTTGAGCGGAATGCCCCGGAAATTCAAGGGAATTTGCCAGTAAATATTCATTTTTATTTGAAAATTCATGTTAATTATGGAATTTCTGTCTTCCTGCCACTAAAAAAATAAGAATTGACTTGAATTTTAAACGTCACTTTTTTCTCAATATCTCAAAAACCCCCAGAGTGATTTCAATTTTTTTGACACCAAAATATTCCTTCTGATAACGTCTATCAAATCAAGTTGCAATATTCCTACGTAACTAGGGGTAGTTTGATAATAATTGGCTTTTTTTTCCACGGGATTGCGACCTCGGCCGAAACGAGAGGATCTCGACCTCACGGGGGATAAGCCCACGTTCTAGAGTGCCAGAGGGATTTCTACGTAACGCGACAGCTCAACTTTGTGGCCAGTCAATGCATCAGGGCAATTCCTCTCGAGCTAAAAAAAAAAACTCATTAAAACTCGTTTTTTCATTGGACGCGATTTATTTCCTCGGGTGAAAATAAAATAGTGGAATGGTTTATCTGGGAACGCCGAAGGCCGAGTCAATGACCCCTGGAGTGTCTCAGAACGCCCCTCGACCCAAAAACCTTGGCACTTATACTCTCCTCTCAATTTTCCAATTTGTTCTTTATCCTCTGACAACTACATTGTTACAATGTTGGGAAAAATGTTGTGGGGGGTGGCATTTAAGTGGATTTAGGAGGAAAAAATGATGATATTTCAGATTTCACGGAAAATTCAATGAAATTTCACATTTTTTAGCAACAGAAAGAGGAATAATTCTTGTATTTACTTGACTTTTTAATCACAAGATGAATATTTAGTTGCAAATTACGTTGAATTATCAATTAATTGAGAAGTCAACAATAATTTGACATGAATTCTCCTGAAATTTACAGTTTTGATCGATTTTTCCATAAAATTTTATGATATTGCGATTTCCGTTCGAAAGATTGTAAATTTTCATAGAATTATTGCATTTGATACTGCACTGGTAGAACAAGATCGGAATCTCATGGACAGTTCAATAATAATTTTCAGATGAGCGATATCACAACAACTAAATTATTTTGATAAAATCAGTCAATTTCTGGAATATTCCATGAAACTGTAATTCCTCGACCCACATAACAACGAAAATTCCTGAATTTTTTCTCCAGTGAAATGATTTTCTACTCTTGCAGAAGAGCACAGTTTTAATTTGAGCCCCGTTTGACCCTAATTTTCCAGACATTTTCCAATGACTTTATTTTATATGACCGATAAAAAACATTTTGAAAATGTAAAAAAAAAATTAGGAAGGTTACTGTTGGAGGGAGACTGATGAAATAATTAAAAAATTGAAATTTTTAAGAATCACGAGCATTTTCTATAAATAACTTACAATAAATTTTCCACCACAAAAATCATTTGTTTGGTTTATAGTTTAAACAATTTCAATTATTTCTCCATAAACAACGAATGTTTAAAAAATAATAATTCTGTGGAAAGTTTAATTTTAATGACGTTGACTTCAATTGAATTCCATAAACAATTGAATTGAATGTTAAATTCAATTCAAATCCCCAAAATACAGAATGTAGAATTGAAAAAAAATTCAGCAGTGATTACCTGAAAAAACTCTCCACTTGAGTGTCACGAACCTCGAGTTCAGAACATAATACTCGGCGGCTCGAGAGCCTTTTCCCAGTGCATGGAGTATTTCAATGGAGTTGATCAATTTGGCAGGACTCGAGTGAAAAATCGATGCGCCTCGGGAGATAATCAGAAGGCGATCGAATACCAGTTGATTAAATTCAGTACCTTCAAGACTTTAATTCCACCCTTTTTTTCTATTCTTTTCCGATTAGATGGGAGAAAAGTGAGCCAATTGTCAGGCTTCTTATTTCCACGAGGGCAATTTATATTGAGGGGGAAATTTTTATTGAATTAAAACCGATTTATCTCGTTTGTGGAGATAAATTGGTATTTTATAATCTTTAAAGTGCAGCATTCAGTCGATTATTTTCATAACAGATGATTTTTCGATGTTGATGAGAGAGAGAAAAATGATTGCAATAAATTCGGGGGATGACTAGTTGTTATTGAGCAGATTCAAGTGCTTTAGCCCTTTTTATCCCGGTGAAATTAACATTTTACAATAATTTTATCATTTAAATTATGAAAATTTGAATTTGACTTTTTATTTTCAACCGTTCAAAAAAATTTTAAAACTCCGAAAAAAATATAGAAAATTGACTGTTGGAGGAAGATCGATGAAATAATTTAAGAATTGCAATTTTCGAAAATCACGATCATTTTCTATCTGAAACCAGAGTTCAAAACCAAAGTTCATAACAGAGATGTCAGACAAGATGTGAGTGAGGATCTACCGTGGATCCATGTTAAAATTTACCGTGGAGCGTATGAATAGACAGTGCCTAAAAAATAATAATTCTGTGTAAAATATAATTACAATGACGCTAGGGGACGGTGGGGCAAAATGAAACACGGGGCAAAATGAAACAGCAAGAAAATCTTGTGATCTAAGGGAGATAGGAGGATTTTCATAAAAACCTTTTTTGTAGAGAATTTTACAAGCTACAAAAAAGGTCCTCTTCAAAAATGTCCTATCTCCTTTAGATGACGGGATTTTCCCACTGTTTCATTTTGCCCCGTGTTTCATTTTGCCCCATGCTCCCCTACATATTCATGATTTTTTTCAAATTTTTCTCACGCAATTGAATTGACAAATTTGATGATTGAAAATGTAAAAGATACTTGGATATCCGTAAGAAAATTTTTAATAAATAATTCATGAACATTCAATGAAGAAAAACCTGCGATAAAATAGGTATCCCTCATTATTAGTTTAATGAAAACTGCACCCAATCCAGTAACTTATAGCCACACGCCTTAAATCCCAAGATAAGATGGTTAAGATCCCACCGAGTGGGATTAACATTTCCAAGATAATTAAGACGTCGTGATGAACGAGATAAGATGATAGAATAATTAGAGACGTACCTAAAAAAAGCCCTGGAAAATCTACAATGGAAATTCTCGCTCGAGTATCATATCACAGAACAACAGTTGAATGCCATTGTATTCGTTGTGTTGGCCAAGTTTTCTGACGATTGAGGGCTTCTCACTGGTGTACAACACTTTTGTGAGACCAGAGAATTCAGTCGTCGGGACGTCTCCCAGTGGCTCTTGCCAGCTGGCTGCGTCGACAGTCTTCGGGCACTGTATACCCCGTTGCATTGTCCCCAAATGGTGAAAACTGTCCGAGAGACACTCGGCCAATTTCTAAGAGCATCAATTTTATTTCATTCATTTATTCTTACGTTTCCGTTATTTGATGTTTTGAATATTACAGGGGGGTGGGGGAATCGATGCCGAGGGATAGCACGTTCTCATTGACAATTTACTTTTGCCCTTTTCTAAATTAAAAAAAAATAAATAGTCTTTTTGAGAAGGGGAGAAAAAACGTATTTATCCCTCTGTCTTCAATTTTTTTCCACTCCATTGATTTTTTTTGCAGCTGTATTGAGAAACACTTCTATTTCAACAATTCTTCTTTTTGCTGTTAATAAACATGTCTTTTATACTAAAATTTATAGTTTCCACCGATTTTTTCATCAAATTTTAAACTTCCAATGAGAAAATCCCGTGCAATCTCAACGCAACTTTAACTTGATAAAATTAGTAAACAATAGTGTCCTAAATAATGATAAAAATTGAAAAAATGTCTTCAATTAAGACACAAAGACGTAAATAAAGACTGTTTTTAACAAAAGCTCTCCTTGAAAAACAGAACAAAAGTGTCTTACTTTAAGGCACCATTTTTCCCCTCCACAACCATTCTATTTTATCTCTCTGTCTTCAATTTATTTCCACTCCATTGAATTTTTTTTCGCAGTTGTATTGAAAAATATGAGAATCCTCTTTCCACAATTTTCCTTTTGTTTCCAGAAAACATGTCTTCATTACGCACACAATCGAGCGGTGGTGCTGTTGTGGGTTTCAGCAGTGTGGGTTCGGATCGCACAGCCCCATCTACAGCAGGTGGTTCCCACTCTCACTCACACTCCCACAGGAAGCATCACCATCATCACAGGAGCAGAAGTGCCCCGCGGACACCTGAAAAACCACCGAGAAAGCGTCATCTGACTACTGGTCAGAGTCTCGCATCAATACCGAGCCAGATAAAGCTGTCGATGCTCAACAGTGGTCTCATCTCCTTCGGTGAGTTTGTGCTTTTGCGAATAAATATCGTCTGCTAAATAAATATCGGAGAGAAACGCCGAAATAGCGAAGTGAGGGGGATAATTTTTCTGAGGAATGCCGGGATTTTACGGGATTTATTCAATGTCTCCGAGTGGGCGTTTACGGGAGGCTGAATAAAACAGGAGGAGGTGGGGAATAAGAGATGTGGAGAAAGCGATAAGCCGGCGTTGGCTATCTGCCATCGGTACATCGCGGATAGTGTAGAATGGATTCACTCCAATATTGTTGTGTTTACAAAGATATGTCAGTGGTTTAATTCAGGATAATTCACTCGTTTTGCCATTTTTATTGCATTTTATTTATCGAGTTTTCGTGGATTTAGGAGTAATTTTCAGGAGAATGACATTGTACTCGATTTAGCGGGGAAAAACTGAGGGATTTGGGGCTTCACTGAACATCGCATCGAATTTTAAAGAGAAGAATTTCGTAATTTACTTAGATTTTCAATAAAGACTTGAATATTCAGTAGCGAATGCGGCTGAGTTGCTAATTAAATGAACATTTAAGAAGATATTTACTTGATTTTTCATGTAATCTTCAGCAGTAATTTTTAGAAGAAGAATATTGAACTGGATTTAAAAAAGATTTGAAATTTAGAGTTTCCATCGATTTTTCAATTAAATTGTGAATTTTTCATTTCGAAATTTCTTGGAATTTCAATGGAAATAATAATTATAGCTTGACAAAAACTTTTAAAAAATTTACCAGAAATTCCATTGAAAAAATGTTCAATTATATAACGCTATTCTCATGTGAAAAATTATTTAAAAACATCTCATTTTCGCAATTTTCATTCCAATGAAGAATTCTGTTCATAAAAAAGATAATTTTTCATTTTCATAAATTGAGTTATGATGAACTATTCAGTTACATTGCTGTTCAGCGATAAAATCGTGAAAACTATAATCAAACCAATAAACTCACTATCTTATTCTCGATGTAACACCTCCCTAAACCACAATAAGCTACAAATAAGCAGCCCGTCAACGACTCCCTGAGTTACGCACAAAATATTCCCCGCCATTCATCCCTGAACCATAAAAAACATTCGTTAATTAAATTTTATCCTACACAGAGTTTTTGTGCTGGAGGCTTTGGCTCCAGAAGTACGGACGGCTCCAGTGGGGGAGTGATGATTTGAATGTTAAATTTTGACGCCATTAGCAAGTCAATACATGGGCATGAGTAATTCCGTCAGGGCTTTTCTACCATCCATCGTCTTCTCCAATATCCGTTCGTTTGTGGCCCCCCAAATTCATCTCGTATTTCACGACAAATTGCTGGCTCGAACTTCGTCTCGCGCACTCTATCTGCATGGAAGAATTATTTTTGGGGTGGTCGATTGAATCTTCGTAATGTTCAGCAGTTTTAATTGTGATATCGATTAAAATTTGAATTTTCGCTCCGTTCTACTTGAAAAATAATTTTTCCAGTAACGAAACATGTCAAAATTCTATGTTAATTAATTGTTTTCAATTCAGAATTTCATGGAAAAATCTATGAGAATTGTAAATATCAGTCAAATTATTCCCTGAAAATTGATAGAAATGATCTGGATTTTTTAATTAATTATTAATAATTTTTTTAAATTAACAAATTGAATTAAATTAATTTTTTAAAATTAATTTGTTAATTTAAAAAATTATTAAAAATTAATTTAAAAACAGTTATTGAAATTAATTAAAATGAATAAATGGCTAGGAGCCGGATAGCTCAGTTGGGAGAGCACCCGATGCATAATCGGACGGTCCCGGGTTCAAATCCCGGTCTGGACTATCCATTTTTTTCAATAAAAATTTTCCGGTTATTCATATTGAGAATAATCCCTCCTACCTCATCCAAATCCCATCTATTCATTTCCTTTGACGTCACAAAGATGTGGAACGCTGTATAAATTCCCTTCTCTAATGTAATGTAGCCATTTATTCATTTTAATTTTGTTTAAATTATTTTTTGAAAACTCAATGCAATTGCGCACTAAATATTCATGTTTTTATTGAAATCTCAAACACATTGAGAAATTCCCCTCTTAATGCAGCTCAAAAATTCCGAATTTCAGTGTATTTCCAGTCAAATTTGAAATTTCATGAATTTTTTCTCCTTAAATCGCGTCCAATGTCTCTCTCCTGAAAATTACTAATCGACTGTCCATGAAATTTCAATTTTTATCCAACAGTGTGCTATTCCTATAAATTTTTCCCCAATTTAATGTCAAGTATGGCTGCAATGTTAAACTGTAAATCTTGAGAATATCCTCAGTATCTCCAGTTTATTTAGAATTCCCACAATGTTTACGTTTCTTCCTCATTCTGACGAGCGACGAAAATTGATTTTACGGCTGTGTTTGGATTACTTCTCTCCCGGCCATTCGTTAATCCCACCAACTTGAATTACATCGAGAGTTACGAGCGAATCGTGACGATAAAAAAAAATGCAATTACACTGGAAATGCCCTCGAAATACCCGAGGCATTTGCAAAAGCTGACAGGCTTCATATTGCCCCCCACAACATTGCGAATTGCCCCCCCCCCCCGC